TAATGTTCAGGTTTATGTTTATAATATTGCTGAATGTTGATACGAAATGTTCAGCGAAGAATTGTGTGAGTGTGGCTACAGATCCGATAGGGATAGCAAAAAATCTCTTTCAGAATGAAAATCTAAACGAAAAAGTAAAAAAGTAAATGATAATTGCAGAGCAGAGAGAAATGATCGAAGAGCATTTGATCAGTGTTCCTGTGTCTGTTCAACAACCGGTGAACATTTTTGATGAATTGTATGCCTCTAGTTGAATTGTTGGCGAAAATAGTGCAGTATCCACAAAACGAATGCCACAGAGATACATCTTGTGCACTTGGTGAAGTCAATTATAGACAGCCAGAAATGATGCAATGAAGAAGTAGAAGAAGAGCTTTGGTGCTCTACATGGAAGAAGACATCGTCTACAATTATAGCATCATATCACAAAGAAAACACGGAAGAAGAAAAAAAAAACCAGAGAAACAAATAAAATAGCCTAGGATAGAAGAATCTCGAAAATCTTTGCCACTTAGATTGCTTTCAGTCGTCAAATCAAACTAAAAGAAATTGATAAATTTCTCTTCTTTATCTGAAGAAATCAGTCACAAAGTGGAGAAACTTTCTTACGAATTATTGCATCTATCCTCGGAATTGCAGGATTTAAAGAAATTCATCAGAATATTTCGCTCATGATGAATTCTCAAACCTTCAGATTCCCACGATTTTTACCAAAATAATCTGCGGGTGGAAGAGTGGAGCAAGATTAATCAGTTTCATCTCAAATACCTCGGAATTTTCTCAGTCAAATCCGGGGAATCTCCGCTTATTTTAAATCGGGGCACATGCAAAAAAATTATTCAATAAATAAAATTTATAATAATATAGTTAATAAAGTCATATCTGAATGAAAAATAAAATTGCATTGAAAAAAAAATTTAACTGAACTCGAACCATCGATTTATTATTAAAAAATAAAGAAAAATTCACGAGTTTGATTAACAATTAAAAATATTTATATATATATATATATATATATAAATATATATATTATGTTATTTAAAAAATCATTTTTATGAGTTGAGTTTTGGATTTTTGAAAAGAGAGAATAATCGGATGGGGAAATAAAAAAAATACAGCCAATGTTATGAACATTTTTTTTAAATATTAATGAATTTATTGAATCAGCGATGGGGATTTCACATAGCCTGAGAGCAGAGCAACAGAACAATTTTTTTATTTAAAAAATTGTGGTTGATAGATAAGGACAAACGGAGGATCGATAACTATTACATTTTTTGTACCTATCGACCAGTCGGCAAAAAATACTGAGCTCATTGCCCTATTCAGGCTTTGAATAGTGACATCAGGATTTTTTAATACTGTCCTGCTCCTAGGCTGTCTGAAAGTCGGCCAATCGTTGCTTAATGAATTCATCAGGGCATCAAGGATGCTCTACATCCACATATAGC